TTAGGGACTGGTTTTGAAAGGTTCCTATCTGTTGTGCTTCTTAGATGTTAATTGAAATTAAAAAGAAAAAAAAGAAAAATGTTGCAGTACAGGAGGAAGACTGAGAGCTGAGGAAATGTAAGAGATATGTATTTTTGTACACAGCTGGCCTTCCTTCTGTATGAAAATCTTTCATGCATTTGGTGCTGGTTTATGCTTGGATTTTCAGACTGATTGGCTTTTTTATAGCCTGCTCTCCTGAAATGTAAAGCACTAAGTTGTTTCTTTCAAGTGAAGATGTTCCATGTCAAAACTTATTTGGAATTCTAAAAAGGCTTTTTCCCCTAAGGCAAATTATCAGTATTTTTCCCCTCCATCTACAGAGACAGAGAAATAAAACCAGCAGCTCTCCCCACAGATGAAAATACCAAGTGATTTAAAGAATTGCTAAGTACCATAATTTGGTTGCAGGCATTGAAATTCTTTATGATAGGATTCTAGATTTAGAGAATGAAGTAGGGTTTTCTTGTTCTTTTATATTTTAAATCTGTAGCTTCAAAAGTGTTCCTGAAATAGGAAAACTTAATTTCCTTTTGAGATGGGAAATCAGAATCTGCTGGGAAGAAAAGGGCAAAAATTGAGAAATAAATCAATTGAGCACCTTTAAGAGGAATCATTTAAGTTATCTATCTTTAAAAAGAAAAAGAGTAGAGAAATTAGTAGAATTACATCATCTGTGTTCTGCACTGGGTTCTTCTGCTCAGTTTGTGTGAGATATTGCTTAAACCCTCTTTGCCTCTGGTTTCTCTGAAATATTCAGAATTGCCTTCTGATCACTGCAAAAAAACTTTATGAGCCACAAAAGACTTGGGGTGATAAAAACCTTCCAATAAGATGAAAATCCAGGCTGGACCTTAGCTCCCTGAAGCCTTGTACAAGAATTCCTAGAACTCATGAGGTACAAATGTGTCTGTACACAAAACCACCCAACAATGCAGGCTTGGCTGAAAAAGAGCTCTTGGTTCTTTGGGTGCTTGACTGGAGTTTGTCCCTTGGTGTTTCTGCTCCCCCTTCCCTGTGCTGCACTCCCTCTGATCACCTGCAGTGGTTTGAACTACTGCTGCAAAGGATTATCTTTCATTTTAGGAGGTGATGAAAATCATAATTTCAATCTCTTTTATTGTTCATCATATCCTCAAAACGGCAGACATTCCATTCTTAAACACGGGGAGGGCACCATCATCCTCAGCATCTTTCAGCCCAGTCAGGAAGGGATTTGGAAGCCTGAGCTTTGGGACCACACCTAGCCAGGGGAAGGAGCTGTCACCACTCAGCACAGACCTGTTTATAAATATCTGCTCTCCAGAAGACAGCTGACAATTGTAATGGGGCTAATTCTTCTAGCAGCACTGATGGCATAACACCATCAGGGCTGTCTGGCACTGCACAGGGTATTTCTTCCATGAAAGAACACTAATCCTGAGCAAGACAGTTTTAGTGTGACTTATGTTCCTTGAAGTGCTATTACAGCAAGTAAAACAAGCAGCATCATTTCTCAGTGGTTTAAAATAAGCTGCACTGAAATCAATATGGATTTATTCCTTGTCTTTTTCCACAGCACCAGGAGGAGCTTTCCACTGCTCTTGCAGACAAAAATGTATCTTCATTTAGTGCATATTATGTATTGCACTTGCTGTAAAACAGAATTGTGCATTTGATTGACTGCCTTGAACCTCAGTCCTGCCCCTGAGCAATTGTAGCTGACTCCGTGGTGATCACTGGGACCTTCATGGATCTAGAACTAACTCTGATGCTAGGCTTAACACATCCTATTTTCCATTAAATGATGGTTTCACTTTTTTTTCTTATGAAAGTGTGAGTTCTATTCATATTTTTTTCCATTCACGAGCTGAGTAATGCCTGACATTTTTGTTTAATGTATATGAAGTCCTGTCTTGTTGTGTAAGATGTCCAAAGGCTGCATATGGTGACTTGGATTTTTCAGGACATTATGGTTTGCAGTTTAAAAATCAGAAGTCAAATTTGGTTGTAGTGGGAGTTTGTTTATCTGGAGCTGCATGAGAAGATTATGACCTTACTTGTATTTTTCCATACCAGAAGCAGACACTTTTCAAAGCACTTCAGCTGGGGAGGAAGAGTACAAGTTGTTTATTTTCAGTGGCATCTCCATGGTTCCAAACCTCTTATCGAGGTTCTTAATGAGCTATAACTGGATAATTAAAAAGCAAGGTTTAGGTCAGCTACTTCTGGTTTCAGCGTGGGATAAATGCATGTTTTGGAGCAACTTAATGTGGCAGGGCTTTTAGGACAGTTTTAGTTTCTTTGAGCAGAGACTTTGGGGCAACTTTGGGCCAGAAATTGGTGCTTCGTTAAGAAATGGCCCTATAGCAAAACATAATGTTTTGAGCATCAAAGTGTCACCATATTCTGTGTTATGCTGAAGGTTGTAGCTACTCTTTCAGAGCCTTATTCCCAAGAAACAGCTCAGCCAGCCCAAGAGCATCACACTTAGCCTTTTTAGAGAAAATTCCCTGGCTGAATGGCAGGGATATAAATAAGAACAATTGTAACAGAGCAGGGATCTGTTTTGTACTGCTTATTATTATTACTATTATTATTATTGCAATAGTCTGATATGCAGCTACTTGTTAATAGTAATGGAAATGTTAAAACCATTAGATGTTAAAACTGTTAAACTATTTCTGGTTATCTGTACCAAATAATTGCCTGTAGCCAGTACCAGAGACTGTTAAACTATTTCTGGTTATCTGTACCAAATAATTGCCTGTAGCTGGTAACAGAGGTATCAGAAGTGAATCTGGATTCACTCAAGGTGCATGTCAGATCCAGATTTCAGGCTCCTGGGGGAGTTGCTCACTACAGGATGAGATGCAGATGCTACCACTGGCTCACAGGCAGTGTTAAACCTTGCACTAGAGGTGGTGGGATTGGCTGTGTTTTGCTAAAGCCAGAGGGTTATTTTGAAAATGGAAGAGGAACTGAGGGCAGGTTTTACAGCTACTTGTAGCTCATTTCATGCTTTTTCACTTTGTCATAGTATTTCACTGCATTTTTATTTAACTGCAGGTAAGTAGGTGATGAGCAACAGCTACTGATAGCTGTGGGCTTAAGGTTTGAGAAGTGTGATATCAAAATTCAGAACAAAAATTGCTGTATATCAGGTATTTAATTGTCGTTTTTAAGCTCCTAAAATCTAGACCTTTTAGGTCCAGATTTGTCTCTCTTTCAGACAGTAGCTTATTGAACCCTGAAGAAAATTACCTGGTGTGCAGAGCAGGGCAGGACAGAACAACTTGTGCAGGAGGGTGTGCAGTGGTGCCTGTAGAGGCTGTTCCTGTCAGAGGTGAACCAATTCCTCCTGAATAAAGATCTCTCTTTCACCACACTGCTCCTGAAACAAGTTTGGGGAGGGTCTTCTCCACAGAGTCCATTTCAAAGGGAATGATTCTGTGTTTTCCTCCAGAGTGTTCAAAACAGACTGACCTGCATCACACACCATTTTGCACATGTGAAGACAAATTCAGACTGAATGAAAGCTTTTACAAATAAGCATGGAATTAGTGCTCACTACTGTTCTGGAAGCAAGTAGCTGTCTTCACTGAAGAACAGCTTGAGGATCAAATCTATCAAGGAGAGCTGAGAGCTCCTCTGCCTTGCTCTACTGGCATCCAGGTGCAGCAGGCAGAGGAAAGGGAGCAAGAGGTCTCACCCCTGCTTAGAAAACTGATCCAGGCTTCACAGCCCATCTGCCCTGATGATTTTCTGCCAGGGTTGGTGGTGGCTCTCAGCACTAGGGTTTGAATGTGCCCAGCTGGAGAGTCCACTTGCCTCCTGTGAAACAAACTGCACGGCATGCTTGAGTCTAAAGCCTCGTGGGATGGAGCATGGATCTGCTGAGCTTCTGATCTTAGCTTCCCTTTCAATTAATGTTGTGAAATAATACTAATCCATGCAAGTGTTATTGATAGATTGTATTTCTCTGTGCTTTCAGAAGTAGAGAAGGACATCAGAAGTGACTGGAGAACAAAACCACACTGAAATCAGTCATCTGGAGATGGTTTAAGACCTGTTTGAAGCTCAGCTGCACACACTAGGGACAGGAGCTGGTAAAGCCATACAGCCCTTCAATTTTCTTTCAGCAGTTTGCCTTCAATCTGACCTCTGTGACAGATGGAGTACAGAACTGATAGGTTCTGAGCTGATGATTCTCCTAGCTGGTACCAAGCAAAATCTCAGTTATTGAAAGAATTTAAAAAATCACACAGGAGTTACTAAAAAATTTAATTCATTTTTCTTTTAATTTTGAATTAATAATATTTTTATCCTTTAGTAAGAGGTATTTATAACACCCTGCCAAAACAGTGCAAAGCCATAGTGTGTTGAGCCTACCTAGGGCTATGATTTAAGGGTACAAATTCAGTGCAGAGGTAGCTGGGGCTGCAATTACTCCTACCCAGCCCCACCTCCTGGGCTGAGCTACAGGCACCTGTGTCTGTCAGCTGCTCCTCACATATCCCAGGAGCCTGGCACAGGGCAGTCCAGCTTCTTCACAGCCAGGAAGCTGCTTTAGAGCCCAGGCTGGAAGAGAAAGGCAGCTAGCAGAAGGCAGTTTAAAGATACTCATCAGTTTAAAGTAGCTCATCAATGCTGATTGATTGATGCACTCATGCAAGTTAGGTCCTGCCAGGCTGCTCCCTACCCTTTACATGAAGAACTTCATACTCACAGCAACTCAAATTTTACTGCTGCCATGAAAAGAAAAAGCCTTTCATAACAATTTTACTGTTACTAGGTACGTTAGTTGTTGTGAGGTCTATTTTTCAATCTCAAAGCAAGAGTCAAAAATACTACACAACATGTTTCAGAAGATACTCAAGCACTCTTCATGCTACTTTATTAGCCTAGCTGAAAAAAAAAAAAAAAAAAAAAACAGCCCAAAATCTGTTGGTCCTCATGGCAGTATCTCATGGAGATACACTGTATTTTTCTTTCTGTCCTTGCTCACATCTGGTCAACAATAAGATCTAATTACATGGATTACGGCAGACTTAGTAAACCCTGTACATGTGCTAAGCTAGAAATAATTACCCTGCTGTTTCTTAGGGAAGTTATTCCCCTTTCTTTCTCCAGAGATGCTCTTTCTCTACTTTGTCAACAAATTGCAGAATATCTTTAGCAAGAAGTTCAGGTTCCTCGAAAGCTGCGAAGTGGCCACCCCTTGGCATGAAGTGGAAGGAGACAATGTTGGTGTATTTCTTCTTGGCCCAAGCCTGGGGTATGTGCAGGATTTCATTAGGGAAGGCAGCAATGCCAGTGGGTACCTGTACTGTGAGCCTGAGAGAGGAGAGAGAACCACTGTCATCTTCCAAACACTTAAATCTGCAACAAATCAAAAGTCCCAAAAAAATGTTCCTGAACAGTTGGGAAAGCTCTTGTTAGGCATTAAAAATTTGACTTTCAGATCCTAAAACTGAAGACAACACTATAATTCCTAAGGAAAAAAAACCCTCTCTTTTATTTTTGCATATGGTGATATTAAGGAAATTTTGCAGGGGATCCAGGCCATGAGGCTCAGAAGCATGGGAAAGGAAAGGAGAGCCCTAGGAGGCGGTGGGCAGCAAATTTCCTCTTGCTGCACACAGTGCTCAAATTGATGGGCAAGCACACACTTTTATAAGAGTGGAGAGAGATTTACAGAGAAGAAAATCACTCAAATATGCTAAGCCTGGCAGGACAACTGGAGGGTAGGCAGGAGAATAATTACTTAATTGCGGGGAGAAGAGAGGAATACTGATAATCTAGACTACTTCAGAAGTAACATTTCTATATGTGGGATTATACCTTAAAATAGCCCTTGCTTTTAAGTGGCACAAATGCACACTACAAAACATTCTTCACATTAAGAAGCATAAGGAAGCAACTGGATGTGAGGGGTGTGAATGATCTGTGCTTGTTCTAAGAGCCACATTTTCTAGATTTGAATATCCCATACACATAAGCTGCATTGTCAGAAGTGACAGACTTTAAAATGTAGATACAAAAAGTGTTGGGCACATAGCCACTGGAAGGCTGAGGTCAGAACTTCACACGGGACTCTGAGACTCTGTCCTCCAGGCACTTAGAAGCTCACACAGCTCATCTAATGCAGGCAGAACCAGAGCAAGATACTGCCCACAGCATAGCCACAGCGGCTTCAGGAACTGAGTCAGCTTCCTGGGAGCATCATTTCACAGCTAAATAAGTACCCTGGCACTAAGCTGTGGGTGAAAATACCTCGGGGCAGGTTTAAGCCTTCACTCTTACTCAGGCTGACACAAGTACATGCAACCAAGCTGCTGTCTGAAGAGTCTGAGCAGCAGCAGGCACATCAGTCTCACTGACTTCTCAATGATGCAGTTTGTCAGCAGCCTGAAGTTGCTTCCAAAGGAAAGACTTAAGCTTTTTGCAGAAACAGGAAAAGTGTGTCCAGAAAAGTACTAAAACTACAACCAAGTAAACTAAACTAAACTGACTGTGTGACTCAGTCACAGACTGATTTAGTAACTGAAATAAAATCGGGAATACATGGCTACACCAAGAATGGGAGGCCCTCAAGCAGTGCCTCCAGTCAGATCTCCTCACTGAGGGCTCAGGATTCCTACCTAAGCACCGTGTTTTCCAAGCACATCAACCACCTGGTCTGTCTTGCAGAGGAATACTGTGAGAGAGCAGTGTTTTTCCTCATTCAGGAATCTATAAGGCATGCAACTATAAAATTAACATCAGGGCAAAATATTTAAAGAGAAGAAGCCACACTTACTTTTCATGCTTCTGTGTGCCTATCCCCTTCTCCAAGTTTTCTTTGTAGAAACGCATGGAGGAGACAATGCATCCTGACACCCAGTAGATCATGATATTGGTGAGCAGGTCATCCAGGCTGAACTTCCTGAAAATGCAAGCCCAAGAGATTGCTTAATTACAATTGAAGAATTATTTGCATCACTTTAGCAGGGACTTGACTTTGGTTTGGTTGTAAGGGGGGGAAAAAAAATATAGGAAATAAATAGTGGTTAAGAGTGGAGAGGTGAAGTTATTACTCCCCCTATGTCTGCCAGTGACCAGTTAAGGATGCTAAAGGCTTTCAGACATAAACTGGGAAGTCACAGTTTAACTCCTACATGGAAGGCAGATTCCAACAAGCACCTTATGCTCCAGCATGGCTGTCTCTCCTGTCCACAGACTGGGAGGGTGGGAGCAGAACAGCACAGGCAGCAGCTTGTGCCATTTATTAATGATAATCTGAAATGCTACTGTGAGCCCTCAACAGAGCCCTCACACACCATGTGCTGTAAACAGTGCATGTTTCATATAAAATTATTAGCTGTATGCAGGGCAAACTTTCCATGCAAATCTGCTGCAGCTGGGCCTTTCCATGGCATGCCCCCTCTCTCCATTCCTGCCAGGTAGTTCTCAAAAGGGATTTCAGCTCTGGTTTCTGCTGCACACTAAACATAATCCTTTATTAGCAAATGGTAGGTAGATGAAGCTGTAACAATCAATCCAAAGCCAATTCACAGGGAGTTAATTGTTGGTATTACAATGAATCATGAGCTGCCAGCATCTTAATGTGGGTTAAACTTTTGGATTTTGTGTCTTAATGAGATTCTTCCCCATAAGTCAGTTTTTAATATCCAGGAGTTGCAGGGTGTATTTCTTTCCTAGGAGATGGAAGTGGGAAGGGAACCCACCAACCTCCATGGCCTGTTTGCCTCTCTGTGTGCTGGAGTGCAGCCCTGCACCAGCTGTGGTCACTACAGGCTCCCTGAGGTGTGAGGTGACCACGGCAGACAAACCTCCTCAGCTGTGACTCTGGGCTCAGTCACCTCATGCAAAACGGCAGGGGAGAAAGGGTTTACCTCTCTAGTCCTCCATCCTCTAGGTTCTGGAATTCCATATCAGTCCACGAGGAAAACTTCTCCAAGATGTATGCAGCCAGTCCCACAGGAGAGTCATTCAAACCACAGCCTGGAAAGGAGGAGGAAAATTTACCTATAAGTGATATCCAACTACAGAACTCAGCGTGTTAGAGAAGCTGCCTGTTATAATATAGGGGACGTAACTTTACAATCTGCTCCATCAGCTGCTTTCTTAAATAAATAAAATAGTACAATGAGTTGGAGCCATTTAATGCCAAATCATAAACTGGAAGTGTCTGCAAATGAGCAGGCTCCACATTAGCTCTCACTGAACATTTTTTGAACTGATGTAACAGTATTGGATTTCTGCTGGCTTTTCTTTTTTTCTGGTAAGCTAATAAGATTAAGCTCTATGTGCCAAGGAGGGTTTGCTTCCATTAATCTGAAAGTTGTCATGTATTAAACAGCATTACAGAGCCAAACCCCACATGCCTACACATGACTAGGAGGATTTGCAGCATTATCTAACAGCAAAAACATTTTAAGGATTATTAGAAAGTCATTAAGGAACAGCAAGGCTCTGCTAAATGCTCCATCTTCTGAATTAGCAATAGCAAACTGCTTTCATGTAGAACAAGCCTTCATATAGATTTTATATCTATATGATTTTATACTACTTTGCTTTCCTGGACAGAAAGAACACACCTGCACTTGGAGCTTTGGTCACACATCCTAGTGCTGTGGAATACAGGGACTGTAAACTGTCCCAGCTTCTCAGTAAAACATGAGAAGAAGCTGTTCCCAAGGAACAGCAAGTTCCTTGGCAACAGCTTTGAAGTTGAATTTGGTGGAATTAGAAGTTCCACCCTTGCAACCCAGCCTTCCAGGAAGGTGCCTAACACTGCAGCTGGCGCGATTTCGCCAGTAATTGCAATTTAAACATGACAGTGGGATTTCAATTATTAAGCAACCACTCTTGATAACTGAAATAGTAAATGTTTGAGAAAGTTCTGTTGAGCACTTTCAGATGTGCTGGACATGACAAGCAGTAGCCTGTTCTCAGCTACTCACTGTGAGTAGAGTGCATCTGTTTACACAGAGAAAAACTGACACTGATCCTCAGAGCACTTGGAATGTAGGCATTTCTGCCAGAAATTCCTTCAGAGTGTTTTTCCCCTTTTAGGAACCTGCCACTGCCCTGATCCTCTCTTCTTTGTCCTTTGGAGAACTGCAGAAATGCTCCAGCCCCCAAAGCATGAACGGGCTGCTGGTTCCCAGTCTGCTCTGACAGAGCACACAGGAGTGGCAAGGACAGCAACCAGCCAGAATTCTGATTGAGAAGGAGCATGGCTTAGGCATCTTTCAAACATCAGCTTCCCTCTCTTTCCTAAAGCACAAAAGACTGGCAATTTTTAGAAACCAAGACTCAACAGAAGCAAAATTATTTTAAATCCGTACAATTATCCTTTTGCCTACACATTTTAAGAACATACCTGCCTCTGTAGGTAAGCTTATGGAAAACCATTAAGAAATATTTCCCTTAGCTATATTTTTAATAAAATCCATCAGTGAATTGCTACTGCACCAAACTAAAATGTAGTCAGTACTCTTGACTCAGTTGTCCAATTCAGTCACAAAAGATGTTTTTAAAATAGAAACACTTAATACTCAGATACTTGAAGCAGTTAAATCATCTGAGTGACTAGCTCATGTAGAAAGAACATTCACAGCTATAATTTTTTTTCCTTGAAATCTGCAAGTGATTCAGAACAATGAGTGAAAGTGAAATTTGATTTTACTTCTCAGGTATTACTTATCACTATAATAAATAAGGTACATTGTGTGCTGAGACAGGTTCTTGTAGTTTACATTACTTGAATGTGATCCATTCTCTGAGAAGAAATTATCTTTTGCTCTCAGCAGAGCTACATTTGAAATGGAATTACAGTCCCCAGTGATAGCAGAAGTTGAAAAATGTAAAACAATCTATTTTATTTATGAAAACTGGAAAATGAGGTCAGTGGCACTTGGAGCATGCTCAGTTTGGATGTGCAGATACACTGCAAAAACACCTATTTTCTGCATGTTTTAAGCAGTACATTTTGTTTCTATGAAAGTACAACTAAAGTGAAGAGACTCGGGTATCCCGAGCTCAAAAAAGGTTGTGGGTTTTTATTATTTGTTTGTTTTACCAACAGTATCCGGTTTTGTAGTCTGTATGTGAGCATAGCCAAACTCAGAGAAGATCTTGTAGAGGCAGTTCTTCAAGAAGGGGAACATCCTCCTGACATCTTCACCCTGGAATCCAAAGAGCCCTGGGAAGTGCCGGCCCAGCAGGATGGAGAGCAGGTGAGAGAGTCCCAGCTTCGAAACCAAGACCATGTTTAAATGGAGACCTTTCACATGGCTAAAGACAAAAAAAAAAAGAAAAAACCAAAAACCCACAAGTTAACAAAAAGTTAACAAAAGTTCAAAGCTGGTGTATTTAGAATCATAGAATATCCTGAGTTGGAAGGAACCCACAAGGATCATCAAAGTCCAGCTCCTGGCCCTTCACAGGACAGCCCCAAAAATCACACCATGTGCCTGAGAGTGTTGCCCAAACACTTCTTGAACTCTGCCAGGCCTGGTGCTGTGACCTGTAACATTTAAAATGTTATTAACCAAAATCACATAAAATACACGGACATACTTGAATCCCAGCCTGTTAATTACATCATGACCTCAGCTGCCCTTTGTGGTGTGGCTTTTCACACAAAAACGAGGGACAAGCCAAAGGGACAACTGTCAGTAATCAGCACACACTCCAGGGCACTAAGCCACAAATCCTCCTTTTTATTTTCTTTGCAAGTACTTGTCCCACTACAGACCTCAGCGAGGCCACCACAAAACTGCTGCACAACCGTTTGAAAGAAAAACATTGAATATAAACTAAGGCATGTAATTTTGGATCTTTGCTTAACACTGAGCACCAAAGGGAGAACCTACACAGCGAGGACTTGGGCAGGAACTCCCAAGTGCACAGGAAATAAACTATTGACAGATGAAACAGCTGCACCAAGGGTGTACTCACCTGGGAGCTATCTGGGCCAGGTTGGTGCAGATGAGCCAGCCACAGTCACCACCCTGGGTGTAGAACTCATTGAATCCCAGTCTGAGCATCAATTCATAAAAAACAGAAGCAGCACTCACGGAATTGAAGCCTGCATTTAAAGAAAAGAACACTTTTGTTGCATTAATTCCACCCACACTCCTGACCCTGCAGCACTGATTCTCCACATCAAGGCAAAGTTCCAGCTCCTCCAAAGCTACCAGTCCCTTTCTCCTTGCCTGACTGTATGCAAGCCCTTGCTCAGCATCCAAGCACAGGGAGCAAGCAGAAAACATGAGGAGGACAAACTCCAGCCTTTCTTGCAGACCTCTCCACTGCTCTGAATGCTGACCACAAAAACTGTAGCCAGGGAAGCAGGGAAAAGCAAACCCAACCTTCTCCACATCTGCACATGCAATAAAATACTACATTCAGTATCACTTTAAACACTACCTTGCCTCAATTTGCTGCAGTTTGTGTTTGTATAACTCAGAGCACAAGCTGAGCAAGCAGGTATTTGACTGCATTCTGCCACGTGGACACATAAACTGCTTTGTTTCAACTCTTCCTTCTCACCTACCTGTACAATGCTGTCGAATATGGTTGCAAAACACCAAAAAGGAACAGTAATAAATGAAATTTACCCTGCCTGCTCACTCACAGACAATTCATGGATGCAACTACAACTCTTGAGTTGTCAATTCATAGCTTTTTATGGTTCTTTTTAAATTATCTACGCACTGCTCCAGGAGCTAGCCAGTGATGTCACCCCAAGTCACCCCCTTATGTCCCTCATCCCACACAACACACAGGATCTCTGTTTCCTCACTGGGAAAACAAGAAGTGTGTAACAGGAGCTGCTGTTCTGCTAACAGAGGCTGCCTCACTCTGAGGCTGGGCTTGTGGGGGTTCAGTTTCTTCTCCTGTGCCATACCTTGCTTGTGGGGTGCTTCTGAGAAACCATAACCAGGGATGGATGGGCAAATGACTTCAAAAATGTGCTCATGGCCGAGGCCGTGGCTTGCAGGATCCGTCAGCAGAGGGATAATTTTGTAAAACTCGTAGAATGAGCCAGGCCAACCATGGACCATTAACAGTGGCTTTGCAGCCTGGCCTTCAGGCAAACAAGGAGGCTTTACATGAACAAAATGGATATCAATGCCTGTAAAAACAAAATCATTCATTAGCACGCCCAAATTTACCTTGACACTGAAACTAATCACAGAACAGATTAGGAATAAAGCTTTTTTCTGTCCTTTTTTTTTGGTGAGCATGCAAACACACTGCACCTCTCTGGATACATTCATCCAAGGACCTTAAAGTACTTTATAATGGGCAATTAAGCATCACAGCAGCCAAATGAGGTTGGCTATTTCTGTTTTAAAATAAATTGGCAAATTAAGACATAGGAGTGAAGCAATCTACCAACGGTAACAGAGTGACTCACACAGCTAACAGGCAGAGGAGACAATTGCATCATTTAGTCCAAGTGCCCTTAAATTTTACCCAAGTGTCCCTACATGGCACAGGATGGGCTTCAGTCAGCCGGAGATTTTTCTTCCTGAAAGGCCTACAATTGCAGCTTGAAGGCACCAAGAGATAAGGAATCCATCACAACGTGCAGCTGTTTGTCTGGGGGCATGAATCACTTTCCTCATTTTGTTCATGCCTTACTTTCCATTTGAATATGTCTGGCTTCTGTCCCCAGCCACCGACTCTAAATGTTGCACAAAAGGAATTTTAAAAGCCTTCACTAAATATTCTCTGTCTGTGGAAGCCTCCTGTAATCAGGTCACACATCTTAACTGCTGGTAAACCAATCATGCCAAACTGAGGATTTTATGCCTTGCTAAAAGAGAGTCAAAGTGTTAATTTTTGTAGTGCTTTCCTACCCTTTGGCCAAAGCTTTCAGTATCTCTTTGAGTGAATAAACCAAGACAGGAACCTGTGTTCTGGTACCAGTCTCCAGTTTGACCAGTAAAAGGTAAAATCAGCAGTGTGGTTTCCATTTTGACTCTTTCCAGCAGGAAAGCTCCACACAGCATTTCACTACCTGCTTCAGGTGAGCTGCTCTTCCTCAAACTAACTCAGGGCTTTGTTTTCCAGGAAACAGGAATTTGTTCCCAGCAGAGCCTGACTGCCTCACTTCTTGATGAATTTAAGCATGTTCTACTCACATCAACTCCAGTTCACCAGCAATCCCACCGTCTTTCACTGACTTGAGATTCCCCCATCCTTGACACTCCTGTGGATCTCTGCATTCTCTGAAAAGCTTTCAAGTGATGACAGAAGGTAGGAATCTGATACACAGCATGTTTGACCTTGTCTTTTCATATCTCCTCTCTGTAATCTTTCCCAAAACTGAAATTTCCCTTCCCATTGCTATACATAGTGCATTGTCCTTAGCTGCTTCTCCCTTTTCTTGTCTCAGATGGTGCTTTTTTCTTCTTTTTCAAGGGAAGACTTTCTGGTTTTATCTTTTTCAGCACTAACCATCATTTAAATAAATGCTTTAAGCTCTAACCACTATGTAGCACCATTTATTGTCCCAAATCCATTTAAAATACCATGGCAAACTGCACCTTTTGAAATAACACACAGTTACGGGTGCGAGTAAAAACAGAACAAAATACCCTGTTGAGGTTAAATTTTGCCATCACGGGTGACAATTGCCTGCTGTGCTCTAGACCTACAAGAGGACCTAAGCACCACCCTAAATCAGGCATTTTAAAAAGCCCAGTCTGGCCAAGCTCCAGCACCAGCAGACCTTGGCTGAATGAACTCTTTGGAAAGAATGAATGAAGAGAAACCATTCCCGGCAGCACATCAACCCCAGGGGAGAGGCACTGCGCACTCCTAGGCCTGGGAATGCTTGAGGAGGTGCAGCAGAGCACATCTGCCCTGCCAGGCTGATGGCTTCACTGTGACAGCAGCAGCTGGGCAGCTCCACAGAGCAGGAGGAGACATCTGCGGCAATTTTTGCATGACTGCATGCAAGGCAGGCAACACGTGTACGTCTTAAGATCCACTTCTGCTCCCAAACACTCGTGCTTGGCTCCTGCTAACACCAGCTGACAGCCTGCTCATGCACAGGGAATTCCATTTGTCATTCCTTGTCCTGAAGGCTTCAGTTACAACCAAGGAGTTCCCTGCTCCTTCAGCAGTGCTGCCAATGATCCAGACTGTGGCAGCCAGGGAGGGAAAGCCCTGTGGCACAACCAGAGCCTTCTTCCCACCAAGCTCCCCTGCAGACAAATTTATCTATTGCTGGTTATATTTTAAGGGGAAAAGCAACACACCTTGAATCTTTGTTTTGAATTGTGGGTACTTGTTGAGGACTTCAACTTGTTTCTTCCAATTGAACTGGTTTTTCCAGTAGGACACAACCTTCCTGAGATGCAGAGAGTTAGTTCCATAATGGAAGCAGCTGTTCTCCAGTGGCTCAGTGAATCGAGCCTGGTCCAGTCTCCTAAATAAATCCTACAGGGAAAGAGAGAGAAGAGACATTTAAAAGCACTTGTGTCTGCTCTCTTGGGCTATGTGTGGTTTCTAATTATTCCCACGTGAAACGAGAACAATGGAAATAACATCTCCAATTAGACACCTGTGCCTTTTGCTCCATCAGCTGCTCCAGTCCTTTTCCTCCTGCAGGTGGCCTCCTTCCCCTTCCATTCACAGCTGTTCTCAGCCTTTGTTCCACCGGGCTGGGAACCACAGAGGGCAAGCTGCTCTGCTGGACCCGCTGTGGCACCAAGGGGTAACTCTTGCTGCCTTTCCTGGACACCTTCCTCACAGTCAGTGCATGGATCTGGCCCAAACCTTTTGCTTTCCTTCCCAAACCCAGGAGTGGGAGGTGTTCACCAGGGAACATTCAGAAGGATTTTGCACAGACAGAAAGTTGGTGAAACCAGACTGAAGTTGAAGTTTGCCAGTCTGGAATAACAACGGCAGTCACCTTCCCACTGCTCTTCAGGGGATGCTGGTGACTCTGCAAGACCACTCCAAAATCACTCAGCAGGGAAAGACAGCCAAGAGCCCCTTCCTGCTGCAAACAGAACCACAGAGTGGCTGAAAGGCAGGTCTGGAAATCTAATCCTGCTCAATCATTTTAAAGTTAGAAATTATCCATCTTAGTGTCTGCAGTGTAAGGGGAAAACAGAAGGGAGACCAATGTCTTTTGGTATTACTAAGAAGGGTAAGCAAAGTGTTAAAAAACCCAGGCCTTGCTGAGAAATTAGGAATCTATTATAAATTAATAATATGAGCAATCCCATGAGTATTGTTTGAACCATGACTCCACAAAGATCTATGAAATGGTTCAGTCCCTGGTTTAACACACACAATCAAAATCTTTCTATCCAACAAACTCTGCAACGTATGTGTTTACTGTAATTACCACAGTAATTTAGTGTTGACCAAAGTAGACTATTAATTACAAAAGAATCAGCATCCAACACAGCTGCAAACATAAAGCAGTCAAGAAAATGAGGTGTTTGTAATTGCTTTGGAAAAAAGCGGGGGAAAAAAAGACATTGTTCTTATTCTGGTCTACACAAACTGAGGAAAATGCACAAACAGAAAAACAGAGTTGAGTAATCTGTAATATGATTTTTATGTTTATTAGGCTTTGCAGAGTAAGTTTATTTACCAGCAATCATGCAAGAGCCAGCTGAGAACAAAATTACACAGCGAGATCTGCCTATTCATACCTATCTTCTGAAGTACTGAAAAACCCCTTCCCCCAAGACCTGCACATCACTGGCACCCTGTTGGTTCAATTTAAAAATTACTTCCAAACACGTTCTGCATCATTTGGCCGTTTCTTCCTTCCCTTCCCCCAGCACAGAGATTTGCTTACACTCAGCTCTTCCTCTGCAGCCTCCACCTTAAATGGCCTAATGCTTGAGTCTTCTTTAGTCACAGGCTTCTGTCCCCTGCCCCACCACCCATCTTTGAAGGGCAGCCTCTCCTCATTCTTCTTGGAAAACAAGAAGTAGATGAGGAGTGTCCCCAGGACCAGGAGCACCTCGAGCAGCATTATGCCTGCAAGAGAAGAACAGAACTCTGGTGAGCCCAGCCAGCTCAGAGAGACACACATTCTTTGTGAGGGCTTTTCCCTTTTCAGACAGGATTCCAGCTACTGGATGTGCTGGCACTCACAGGATATCAATACTTCTGTGAAATTTCTGAAATAGAATGTTTCAACCTACCCAAATGAGGAAGAATTGTTTTAAGTAAAAGAAAAATAATAAAAACAGAGCTCAAAGTAAGTTAAAGAGGTAATGTGGCAATTAAATAGTCATTATAATGTAAATATGACATAAATATAACATAGCTTAATAATTACAATTATACAATTCACATTTAATGCCTTCTCTTCCTCTGAAGCTCCAGATTCCCCACAACTCCCAGGGCACAGCATCTCTTCAGCAAGGCTTGCATGTCTACTGCTGTAGATTCAGAGGGAAAGAAAAGCAAGACAGAACATATATACAGAATAAAAAGCCAACAGCGTGAGGGCAGCCACCTTGTACCTCCAGCCAGCCAGGAAGTCGAGCAGGGATATGTTTGCACAACCCTTGAACAGCAGTGTAAAGGGCAGTCAGACCTTCCCTTTCCTTCTCCCTGTGAACTGTTTTAAAGAGAAAACAAAAGCCCATGCTGTAAAATGTGATCACATAGTGACAAAATTCTGTCAAGGTGCAGAGCAGCCTGATTTCACAGCACATCTGCATAACCCAGCTGCAGGGCTGCTGTGCTGCAGTCAAACAGAACACCCCAACAACAACAACAAAAGAAAACCTTCTTGGATATATTTGGACTGTTTTGTGCTGCAGGTAGAAAAAACACTTAGACTTGTCTTTAATAATTAATGTTTTCAAGCATGCCTTTAAATGTAAGAAACCTTAGTAAGGTGGTTTGGGGAACTGTACTGTCATCCTTTTAATGCATAATTTTAAACAATATCATGCTTCAAACACTAATTTGCTGGGGAATTACTAAGACATCAAGTATTTCAAAACTTCTGTAGGGCAAGGATTGTTTATGACCCAGAACGTCTTCATTCTCTCTAGAGCCAGAAGGTTTTGTTGGTTTTGCTGCTGCAGAGTAATTTGATGCTCTGGAATGGCTCAAAGAGTCCTCAGAATGCACCAGATTTACTCCTGGATCAAAATAGGAATTTTAGCACAAGTTAATGGGAATTCACAGGATTAGAGCAGGAATGAAACTGAATGGAATTGTTTAAGTGCCTTCATATGATAGAACATGTTGTAGTCAACTTCTTGAGTTTAATTTTCTGATGGCTGACAATAAATAAATAAATAAATAAATGCACAAGTCAAGATAAGCAACCATAAAACATCTGTGCAGATTGAACATTTGTCCAGGCACTGTGCAGATTGAACAAGCTAAAAAAAAAAAAGAGGAAAAAAAGTTTTAAAACTCTATTTTTTACACATGCAAGTGCTACAGCCTTGAAAGTGCCTGAATCCTCACAGGCTGGAGCTATTGGGAATGATAGGCACTGAAAAAACTTGATTTGTTTATTTGTTTCACTGGTGCTTCCATAATTTCTGCCACTTGTTTTTCTTCACAATGTTATCTGGAGCACAAGACAACACTCTTTTCCCACCTTTACAACACCCAGGCCATAACTCTCCCCAGAATTAAAAAGTTTATCCAATTTCAGCTTGCCTCAGCACACAAACCAATGCAGTTTAGGAGCATCCTGAGCACAATTAAATTTTACTGCAAAGCACAACTGGAGGGGCTTCTAGAAACCTCAGAGCACTTTACATAGAAGTGATACCTACCACAGCATTTTACTGCATTTCTACTCCTAAGCCTTTGTGGAGAAAAACAGCAGCTTCCCCAAAATCACAACACAACTGGAGCCATGAGAAAGGTTCACCACCATGACTGGGTGAACACCACACTGAAAAATCCCAACTCTTGGCCAAGTCCAGAGCTCCCCAGCAAACAGAAGAGCTGCTGTCAGTGCCAGCCCCGTTGTTCAGGCTGGGCTGTCTCCAAAAGCAGAGCTCTCTTTGCCCTGGCTCCTGCTGCATCAGCAGCACAGCCCTGGAGCACAGACAGGGCACAGCTCCCAGCACGGAGCTGCTCTGCCCAGGAGCTGAGCCTCCGTCAGCCAGAAACCCTCATGTCCACACCCAGAGCTGCAGAACCACCTCTGCTCCCCCCATCTCCTCTCAAGGACACTTGAGAAAGCAGAATTTTTGCAGCAGAAGACCTGGGGAGGGACTGTGTGCAAATGTGTGTGTTTTGCATTCAGCCTGGACCACGTGTGGAAAGAACTGGCTGTGTGAACAGGCCCCCATTTTTTGCAGTGAATTCCAGACTGGAGGATGAGCTTGTTTACCATCCAGTAGTAAGTGCCAAAACCAGCTTCAGGTCCCACAAGAATCCTGACTTCCACTGCAGATAGCTGGGGCTGGTGACAAATTGCCTTGCACGAAATGTCATCCTGACTTGGAAGAAGCCACCTCTGATTTTGATTGGGTTAGTTTTTGCTAACAGAGGGACTCTCTGTATCCAACCTCTCCCAGCTGCCTTGAAAGTGCCTGTAAAATTCCTGATGATAATGAACACGGCTCCCAGAGCTCCGAGAGCGTCACATTTTCCTGTGAGTGCCGCGAAGGGAAGGACCAAGCGCATCGGCAGTGCTTGGACTGGCACCAGCTGACCCAAGGGAACTGTTTTGTGAGGGATGAGCTGCTGGGATGCAGCACGTTCCTGCCAGCAGCTCCAGCCTGGGCCCAGAGGAGGCAGCTCAGAGCAGTGATTTCCCAAGGTCGCTATCCAAGCTGCTTCTCTGGAGCTCTGGTGGGTTGTTTGAGCAGCACAAACAGCCTCAGTTGTGAGGCACCAGAATTTCCTCCACTAATCACTGCTGGGATCTGTGCTGGAGTGGAAGTTATCAGCTCCTTAACACTTGTTCCACATGCAGCGATACAGCACCGTGAAGGTGGAAGGACAAACAGGTACAATAACGCTTTTCTACCCTCATTTTTCAGAGATGTCAACAACCAAGTGCTGGTGGTTCTATTGTCTGAAGTCTCTTGATGCAACCATACTGGCACCATGCCTTTATAAACGAGTGCTTCAAAGGGAGTTCATGTTTTGGTTTGCCTTTTTCCTCTTTTTATGTGACCAAAGGCAAGACCTTAGAAGAAAATATTTCCACTTATTCCATGGTCCTTAGGCGCTGAGACTTTGCTGTACCCCCGAGTGGATATTGTTTACAGACAACACTTAAATACCTTAGACAGTACTTTTATCCTAAAGAGTTCAAGGAGGAATGTTTTTGGTTTGCTGCTTTAAAAACATGTTTTCAAAGAAAAATGTTGAAATGCAATGGGCCCAGTAAATAAACCAAGCTCCTCTTGAAGAAGGCCAAGCACATCTCATGAAATACTTTTGCAAGAAAACCTCAGAACTTCCTTACAGTATCTTACAGCTCCCTATTGGAAACACTCCTGTCACAGTCATATTTTCTGGAAAAATCCCTTGCCCACGATTTTTCTCCTGGGAAGCTGAGAAGCCTCAGAGAAAAAGGAAAACAATTCTTATCTCGTTTGCTTCTCCTGTGTTTTGCTGCTTTGGAATGTGGCTGGAGATTGTTTATCCAACAGGTGGTTGTTTCATTGGTTTCATGTGGATTGTTTTTACTTATTGGCCAATCAAGGGCCAAACTGTGTCAGATCTGGAGGAGAGAGACAGGAGTTTTCAGTAGTGTCTTCTAGCCTTCTGTCTGTATCCTTTCTGTATTCTTTAGCATAGTTTTAGTATAGCATTCTTTAATATAATATAATATCATAAAATAATAAATTAGCCTTCTAAGAACATGGAGTCAGATTCATCATTTCCTTCCTTCGTCTGGGAACCCTGCAAATACAAGACACTCCTGGTTTTCAGCACCTTTCTGCATTTCGAGGTGTCCCCTATCTGTGCATTAACATCAGAGCTAAGGGGTCCACAGGAACAGAGCAATTATTATTTACATTAAAGCTATGTCCTGTCTCCTGCTTTGTCTTCATCAGTACGCAGGAAGAGATGCCCCAGAGAACACAGCTCTTCATTTTCACAGAGGTCATCTATTAAACAGCTTCATGGTAAAATCCCCCTCTCCTTCTGTGAGTAACCATCCATCTTAGCCTTGCAGAATTAGAATCCATCTGAAACATGGTTTTGGAGAAATAAGCAACTGTGCAGACCTTCAGCTTAATGCTGGAAATGCCTTCTGGCCCAAACACCACCCAGCTGCAATGAGTGATGCACAACACCCACAGCTTTGAGGGGGCTACCAAACCCTGCCAGGGCAAAGCTGCTGCTGCTGCGTGGCTGAGGCAGGAGCTGTGAGACTCTGCTGCTTCCAGAGCTAATCATGGTTTAGGGTTAATAACATTTTCTCTCCAGGACTGGTTCACCAGCACACTGCGAGGCAGCTCAGAGCACTTGGCACACTCTGAGAGACACAAGGATTATTGATTAATAATTACTCTGCAGGAGAAATAACAGCTCCATTTGGAAGTGATTTTTCTGTTTACTTTTGTTCACTTACATGTGGTCCCACATTAGGCTTTACCAAAAACACATCTCTGCTGCAGCACCTTTGTTTGCATGCTTGTTTGCCCAAAGAGCAGCAATTGCAGGCTACTCTTCCCAAGAAAGGAAAAACAACCCCACTGAAGGACTTCAAAAACTCATGGCACCTGTAACAGAGCCCCTGAGCACTGCCACAGCCTAAAAGGAGTGAAGACACAGCACAGTCCCCACAGCTTCACCCTCAGTCTGTCCCCCACCCTCTCCAGGCACCACGTTTTTGCCATCATGTTGCACCAGAAGCAGACAGAAAACCATCAAGTCACTCATAGAAGAAAATCTTCCCACTTCTGTAGTTTATGGAGCATCATGACAAGCTTGAAAATAGCTTAGCAACGCAGAAATTGCTTTGCCTACAAGTGATAACATCTCCCAGGTGAGCATGAAATGCTGCACTAACATTGTAGGGGAGGAGGAGA